GACTCAGCCTTCCACTCCTTTCCAAGGTCGGTAAAATGAGGACCCAGATTGTTGGGAGCAATATGCTGGCTCTGTAAACTGCTTAGAGAGGGCTGTAAGCGGTATATAAGTCTAAGTGCTATTGCTATTGAAATTTACTTTGAGCTATAATTTGAAAGAGAATTTCTATATGATATATTGTTGGTATTTAACACCTTAAACTGTCAAATATATATAAAAATGGTGTGTCAAACATATGTTGGAAATATAATCATTCTGAAGGCACCTTTTATCACCTTTGGTGAACATATAAGGAGGCTAAGAGTTATTATGAGGTGGCTGGATGGAGTCATTGAAGCAGTAGGAGTGAGCTTATATGGACTCCAGAAGATGGTAGAGGACAGGAAAACCTGGAGGAACATTGTCCATGGGGTCGCGATGGGTCGGACACGACTTCGCAACTAACAACAAGAGTTATTTGGATCAAATACGTACTTAATTCAGAGAATTTTAAAAACAAAGTTACAGTTGAAACCAGAGATTTAGGTTTGATAGGTTAAGCAATTAGAGGGGAAAAATGGGACTTTGTTTCTACAGATTATAACTGCAGTGAGACTTTTGTAATGCCCAGAGTTGAAAAGACTTACAGACTCCCACAATGGAAGAATGGATGGTGAAGTGAATGAAACTGATTGAGATGGTGAAATTAGCTACTTTGATTAAGGAAAAGATTTTGTCTAACTTTGTTTCTAGTTGGTAAAGGTTTTTGGTGTTTTTTTTTGCTGGAAACCCAAACAAAAAATATTATATTGATTTTAGGATTTGAAATAGGGTCATAAAGAGGGAGTTGGGGGAATTGATACTTAGAAATGTCTGTCATTATAGAAAATATTGGCTATGATTGAATTTTAGATCAAAAGGTTATCGGATGTTATATTTGTAACAGTGATGAAGAAAGTTAGCTTTCCTTTATTTTTGTTTTTCTTTTATTCCTTTGCACCTTCCCTTCCCCCATCTTTTTCCTTCTAAATATGTTTTATTTTTATAGAAATTTAACAAAGTATATTAAAAAAGGAAGGTTCGGTGCTCACACTGTTTTTTTTATTCTTCACTATTCGTAAAGAGAGATATTTGTATTGGATTTATTTATTACAAACAAATTCCACCTGTGATTCAAGAGTCCACAATGGCATCTGCAGTCCCTCCTCCTCGTATGTTCCCTAGGACACAATCCTTGAGGTAGGGATGAAAAAGAGTGATTGTCCCACATTCACTCAGTGTGTTTTCATGGCTAAAGTTGTGTGTCTCCCTTACTCTAGTCCAGGGATAGGCAACCTTGGCTCCTTTATGACTCGTGGACTTCAACTCCCAGAATTCCTGAGCCAGCTATGCTGGCTCAGGAATTCTGGGAGTTGTTGTTGTTATTATTATTATTATTATTATTATTATTATTATTATTATTATTATTATTATTATTAAATTCAATTTATATCCCGCCCTTCTCCTTGCGGACTCAGGGCGGCTGACAATCAATTAAAATACACAAATAACAATTACAAAATTAAAATTAATTAAAAAGAAATATTTAAACGTAGTCCAATTAAAATATAATTAAAACCCNAGGAAGGGAGATCAGGGATGACCCTGATCTCTGGGGGCAGTTCATTCCAGAGGGTGGGAGCTCCCACAGAGAAGGCCCTCCCCCTTGGGGTCGCCAGCCGGCACTGTCTGGCCGACGGCACCCTGAGGAGACCCACTCTGTGTGAGCGTACTGGTCGATGGGAGGTAATCTGCGGCAGGAGGCGGTCTCGAAGGTATCCACGAGTCATAAAAGAGCCAAGGTTGCCTACCCCTGCAGTCTAGTCTAATATCTTATCCATTATATCATAGTAGCTATTTAATTAGATAGTATTCAATTAAAAAAAGAAATCTGAAGAGTTAAAGGTTTCCCTTCTACTTTAAGAGACCTCCACAAAAATAATGGAGAAAATAGTCCTGTAGCACTGCCAAAACCATAGGCAGTGGATTATTGAAAGAGAATCGTAGAAAGGGGAAGTGAGATTGTAGAGCAGACATGTGATAGCTTTCTGGCTTATTCTTGTCAAGGAGTACTAGGAGGTAACAAGGTTTTAAGATCCATTAAAAAAAACCAAACCAACCAACCAACCAACCATCTAGAAAACATAAAACCAGATAATAAACACAAGTATTAATGTCTTGGGAGCATTTAACAAGCAACACGTATAAAACAGAAATACCGAAATCTTGTCTGTTCTGAGGTTTTCTGATGAGCAGTAGATACATTTGATCAACATGTGCCTTAAGACAAAGAAGCATTGGTATGTGCTTCTGCTCATATCCCCCAATGCTCCAAGCCAATAAAAACAACGAGAATAAATACACATTAGCAGGGCGTGGAAAGTCACACAGTTTAAAGCCTACTACTGAATGCTTATTGCAGGGAGGTCATAGCTGGAGGAAATAAAGAACACTTGTGGGCTTTCTCAAGCATCTGGTTACCCAACATGCTTTATGACAGCTAAGTAGATTCCCACAAGCAGAAAGCAGCAGCACTTCCTCCTGCTGCTGCCTCCGACAACTGGGGATGGGGATGGGGGGTAAATATTATGTAAATGCGGGAAAGAAAAGCTAAGGAAAACAAGAAATATTGGATCAAAAAGGCCTGGCTTGTACTACGGTGTAACTATATTGCAGGCCATTTGTATGCCAGGAGGATTGATGGGTCAGTTATGTGCTTAGACCACACAGGCTTACCAGGTCTTCTAAATATACCATCAAGAAATTATAGACCAAAGTGCCCTCTGGGTTATTGCTGTTTGAAAGAGGCCTTTGGTATTGTATACAATGGCATAATGCAGTGGTTCTCAACCTTTTTAATGCCGCGACCCCAACCGGTCGTAAGTCGAGGACTAAACCGGTCATAAGTCGAGGACTAAACCGGTCATAAGTCGAGGACTACCCAACCGGTCTAAGTCGAGGACTTTCCCTGCCCGGGAGCGCCGCGCATGCGTGGTTCCGCCCCCTGCGCCAGCCGAGGCGTAGCTGGCAAGCGGCAGAGACGGAGCAGGCCGACCCCAGCTGGCCCAGCCCAAGGGAGGTAAGGCACCCGCCGGAAAAAGGGGAAAAAAATGGCAGACAAAAAAAATGGCGGACAAAAAAAAATGGCGGACAGCCTTGCTTGGCGACCCCCATGAAATGGTCGATCGACCCCAAATGAGGTCCCGACCCACAGGTTGCGAACCACTGGCATAATGTGACTTATCAATGCTGAAGAAGCCTTGGGATGCTTAGGAAATTTTTCAGTTGAATTATCTTAACACGAACTAACTTGGCAGTATTTGAATTGAGTCAATTCTGCTCAAATTCAATCCCTCTCAACCCCCTCCCCATAAGAAATACGCTTGCTTGCTAGCAATTTTTTAAAAATTTCATTTAATCATACTGCACCTGGTCTTGTCTGCAATTTTACTTTTTCTTTAGGTAAATGGAAGACCTTGTTGCCTTTTTAAAAATGTGACCAACATAGATGCTTTCCTCTCTTTGAGTATTAGCTGTCCCAGACCATACTGCATTAATCAAGACAGATTACTGAATGTTTTTTTATGATTTGGATGGACTTCGTGGCTGTTTTACTTAAATACTTCACATATTAAGCATATAAGTATGGATTTCTTTGGGAGAAACCTAGTCAAAATTTGTACTCACAACGTGCATAACTGCTGAGAGCAATACTGGCATAGTGTTGTCATACTATACTATAAAAAGAGAGGGGCATGTTCTGTGTTTGTGTAGTTTACAACCTCTACTATTCTCTGATGAGGAACAAACTATATATTTAATCATCACCACCATTACACAAGAAGGCTTCAATATTCTTTGAGGGTAAGAGAGGACGGACATTCTTCAAACATTCACAGGAATTCTAATTTAAATCATTCTGAGCAGCTATTTTTTATGGATTACAAGGGTTCTGTCCATTCTGTTTCTATTCAATACTTCAAAAACGTGCAAAATCTTCCTTTTTGAAAATAGGACACTTATTCTTAGGTTCAGTACTCTTCTCTCCTATATTTAGTTCATTTTCATTTCCTTATTCTCATTTCACCATTTTTAAATGGTAGCAAATGCAATTGTTCTTTCGAGCTGTTCACAATCAGGTGGTTTACAAATTTACTACTACTACTACTACTACTACTACTACTACTACTACTACTATTGATCATCGCACAGTCAGCCAGATGTTCAGACTGGATTTGGCATTTTTGTCTAGCTATCGAGTCCTTTCCAAGGATCTGGGATAGGCGGATGTGGATGTTTAATGGTATTACAGATATCGTCGCAGGATGGAAGCAGTTCCTAGTAAGGCCGCCTTTTGCAATTCACTAATGGCGAATTTGTCAATGTCAATGATGTTCAATTGGTGCTCCAGTTGTTTTGGGATTATTATTATTATTATTATTATTATTATTATTATTATTTGCAAATAAGCCATGATGACCAATTCTGTACCTGTGGAAGAACACTGACAGACAACTATATTTGCTTTAGGGTCATGCCTTAAAAATGTTACCTCAACTACTGGTAGGATAGGTGTACTAAATCCAACAATTTTGTGAAAAAGAACCAGAGTGCATTTATTGGCATCAAGAGATAAGGATACATACATCTTCCTCTTAATGGGCCAATACAAAAATGTTTAAAATAAATTGCTAGGGACACTTCTATTTAAATTGTAATTGCTTTGTTCAGCAGCCACTGCACTTTCATTATCCCTGTATACAATTCTCTGGCCGTACAACTCCTCTCCTTTGTGCTGAATACCTATTGCTGAGTATCTGTAGCTCAGAAATATTATACCACCTGTCCCTTGTCTTAAAACTCAATTTCCAGCAAACAAAAGGAAACCTTTCCAAGTCATGTGGCCCCAAACTAATGCCACTGATACAAACATGTTTTGTCATGCTTTTAATCTTCAAAGTTGCGGGTGAAACATTTTCTACCTGATATCCAAAGAAGACCATCCACAACACATCCTGCATGACAGGAAAGGGACCTATCAAAGGACAGAACAAAAGTCCATTTGTTCTTCTTAGGACAGTATCGTTCAACAGTTGGCAAAACTTGACGTAGCTCATTTCTGCCTCCCACAGCATAGAGAAATTCATCCACAGTCCCAAGTACAAAATGCTCCCTGCAATTCTTCATTGGAGCTATTTCTGCCCAGGAATTATTACGGGGATCATATCTACAAGCAGTCCGTACTGCACATGTGCGGCCAGTCGCTTGTTCAACTTCACCACCTGCTACAAAGAGGAAATCTCCCATTACAGCCACGCAGTGGTGGCTTCTTCCTACCGGCATGGGAGCCAGCTCACTCCAGTTTGCAATCCCTGCAATGTGAACATTTTCTTGGTCCACAGGATTAAAGTATCGTAGCTCTTTAACTCTGCATATTTCCCGTTTTTTTCCACCAATGATGTAAAGAGTGTCTGACTGGAAGCGAGGTTTTGTCCTTCTGGTCTGCCATATTGGCTGTGCATAGATACTTTGATGATAGACCAAAGCCTCATTGACCAGTGCTGTTGCAGTTTCACTAGTCTGGACAAGAGGGTGTGAGAGGGCAACCGTATGCAGTGTATCCACATCCATAAGCCCGAATCGAACGTACTGTAGAAGTTCATCCATGTACTGATATCGGCAGTTGTGTTCCAGCCATCTCACAGCTAGCTAGAAGGGAGGAAAAACATTTTTAAAAATGATCTTATCTACATTATTCACAATTCGGTGTGAGAAATACATATTTGAATTATTCAACTTATCAACCAAAAATTATACTCCCAAATTTAATCTTGCTGCATATATAAAAACATCCCTTCATCTCCCCTAAAATAATGATGACTCTGTGTAGAATTAATGTATGATAACAGGGCCGTCTTGTCTTAGAAAACATTCAGATAATGGGTGCCCTGCATAAACAAGAAGAAACAACACATGACAACATGGGAGTTTTTCCATAAGGACTAATGTACATTATATTGGTAATCAATCGTCCAGAGCAGCCTTCTCCAATTTGGCTCTGTGTTTGAACAACTTGTCTCTAAAGTTCCCAAACATTCAATAGTGTCCAGTGTTGACATTCACTGAGCATTATGGGAATCATTATCTCAATGTTTTTGGATGCCACCAGATTGAAGAAAGCTTCTCTGGCAGGTGTACCCATTACTCATGGTCACTGGGTGTTTTGGGGATTATAGTTGCAATTTACTTGAACAGCACAAAAAGCTTGGGAAAGCAAGGTATAAAAAAAATGTCAAGAACCACATCGCTATTGAGATATGTACCTATCTTTTGAGGTATTGGGTCTCCTGCGCGAGCAGGGGGTTGGACTAGAAGACTTCCAAGGTGCCTTCCAACTCTATTATTCTATGTTCTATTGGCCATACTCTATATGAGACCCTTATTCATTCTTGATAATTTTATATTCCCTTATTTGGAGTCATTGTTAATGCATATACGTAACTTTCTAACTCCTAAATGACAGGTACACCACTGAAGTATACTTTACAAAGCATGTTAAAAAGATCAAACTGAACACAACAACGATGAATTAGATGCAATCAATTATTTGAGTGCTAGCAATCATAGGTAGTAGAATGAAGCACACCCAGGATTTGTTTTCTAGCATATACTGTACATGCTTTGCTGGACACGTGATAGTGCCATATAGCTGTGATAAATATGGTTGTACAAGAATAATGCACTGGATAATATCTGAACTTGAAATACCCCACTGAAATCAATGGGAAAAAATCCACTGGGATTTGTTCCACTGATTCCAATGGGAATGAAGTGCTGTATCAAGGGGTTTGGAGGCAAGCCACAGTACTATCAAGAGAGCTGAAACTCTATACAGAATAACCAATCCTTCAAAGACTAAGTGGTGGCATCTGGAACCAGCTGACGCCTCCAAACCATTTTACAGAGGAGCACCGCTAATAGAAACAAGTCTTTCAGTTTCCTATTTTTCTACGCCTGAAGCTCTGGTGGAGACCTACCTGATGAAAACAAAAGAGCATGCTTTAATAGAGGCTTTTTCCTCAAAGAGCAAGATCTTTATTTATTGCTTTTTGCCTGATTCTGCTCCCCCATGGAATGCATATATTCATTTTTAATAACTATTATTTGCCTCTCTCTTCCTCTCGCCCACATCCGAGTTTCACCACTACAGAGAGAAAAAAAATCATGTGGCTTGCAGGAGCAATTGTGTGAAAACTTTTCATTTTTAAAAAAAAACTGCTGTCCCTGTTTTTGTATTACAGATACAAGTCTACCACCTCACAAAGATCCCTGGCAATATTCCGGAAAGCATACTATTATTTAAAGCAAAATACCTTCCACAATAATTTTTGACATTCTTATTCTACAGCATGAAACAAAAAGCAAAATAAGACTGCCAGACACAGATGATAAACAACCATGGAAGGGGGGAAAAAATTAAAAGGAGGGGGAGGGAAGCAGGGTTCCACTAGATCCGCTGTGGCTTTAAATATAATCTACGGAGCCGAAGAAGAGAAGCAAGGAAATAAAAAAATAAAAAAAAATTAAGAGCAGAGGAAGCCACAGTGAAGGTCAGGGAGTGAAAGAACTTCCTCAGGGCACAGAATAAATTAAATCCCAAAGAAAAAAAAAGTGATTTCCAGAGTGCAAGGCACAAACTCAAAATGACAATGATTGGCAGCCAAACTATATCCATGCAATATCGAAGGCTGCACGTTCTCATTTACCTCAGTGTAGCCAGCAAGCGCCCATTAAACATCCGTCTGATGCCCAAATTAACCTTCTTGGCAAACTGAAAGAGGCACAAACTATCATAATCAACCTTTCATTATCACAGCAGCCTCTAGTTAAAGGGTCAGAATAATTGTGCCATCAGAGCCCTGATTGTTTTCAATCAACAGACGGCTGGAGTGACAGCTCCATGATGGAGTAGTCTGATGAAACCGCACCAGGCCTAATCAGAGCAGATGAAAGGAAGGCATGATTGGTGCAAATGAACAGCCGTGCCTCTCTTTTTCATTTACAATCTGAAATTACTCTTAAATTTACAGGTTTTCCCCCACCCTCCCCTCCTCCTCGAGTACCTCAGAAAGAATATTTGACTTATTATGAGTTCTGACAGTGCAGAGTTATAAAAACACAGGTAGGATTCTGCCTCCTCCCCTTGCTCCAAGTGCAGGCTTTAAGTGCGCCTTCAGCATAATTTCAGCAAAACCCAGTCACAAGATAACTGACTTCCAGTGACCTCACCTTGCCGTGATGTTTGATTAACCAGGCAGTTTATTTCAGCCAACAGTTTTCACAATGTCAGGAAAGTTTGGAAAATGGAAAGGGAGCAATAGCAACCAGAATGAATGTGCAAAGAGCTCTGCAAAACATTTTCTTCAACAATACATGTATTGCCATTCTCAGTGTTAAAGTGATACATTTATGATGTTTTTTCTCTTCTTGGGGAAAAAATAAAAATAAAAGCCAAGAACATTTCTGGAATACACACACAGAGACAAACATACCCATATTTTTATTGGGGCTGCTGATTTCAGAACTACATTCTTACTTAATCAAGAATTAAAGCCAACAGATACTCTTAATTATGAGGAAAGGAGAATGGAATATTCTAGGCATTGTAGAGTAGAGTAACTAACCCCATACTCCAGCTCCTAAACTCTCTCAGCTAGCTTTGCATAATTCTACCACTTTGTTTCTCAGATTCTAGTAACTATTAAAATAAAAGTGCCAAAGGCAACCTCATTTTATCACTGAGCAAAGTAGGTGTTTTAAGTGGAAAACTGCAAGACACCTTTATGTTCTTGAACTGCATCACATACATCTAGCCAATCGTATATCCCCACAGTACATCAGCATTCAGGACACTGCAGCAAAACAAGAGGCTTAGCAGAGGAGATTAATTTGTATCTGAAGAAAGGCAAAGCAGAGAAAGAAGAGTGAAGCTAATTCAAAGAGCCTCATATTTCATAAATTTACTTCCAGTTTGTACCTACCCGGCAAACTGAATTTATTTCCATGTCCTTTTACATGCACCTACCCTTAATTGTAGCTACAGCAATATTAGTGTGCCTCCAGGCTTATTAACTACTGGAAGATATGTAAATGTAGCAATGTTAAGTGGGCATGATCCAGTCTAATTTAAATATGCTTGAGTCCCATTAGTTTCCATGGGAAGCCATTAAGAGTGCAATTCACTCTTTCCCACTGAAATCAATGGGATTTAAAGATGCTTAGCTTTGATTTGATTGTGTCTAGAGGAAATTGTTGTGCATGTAAAAAAAATAAATTCCCATGATCAAAGATGCTTAACAGATCACAGCAGAAACAGCAGTAGCAATAAGCAGCTGTATATAGCCGAAGAGCAGAAGATCATCCTTCAGCAGTATTACTGACCTGCTTTGTATTGTATTCCATGTACCAACCGTTTGAAATTCTTGCAGTGATCACTAGCTGTAGTGTTATGGGAAAGACAGCATAATACAATGAAGCTATAATACCACAAAAAAAATTGTTTCAAGTCTGACTTGTGTTCTATATTTAAAAGCTTTCTGTGGTGCTCTTCACCTCTCCAAGCTAAAAGTGAAGGGAAAGCAACCAATGCTGTTTGGAGAACCAGCAACTTTTTATTTTACTTTACTTGTATATCCCCTGGGTCCTTCTTATTCTTTCCAAAGCAACAGAAGTTTGGAAAAAAATAACGTAAAGAGTCTCAGAACTCTTGCCAGTCTGACAGTCTGTCCATTTCCCCCTCAGGAGGCTACTTTTCAAATGAACAAATACAGAACAGAATAGAAGGAGACAAAATTTGTGTGGTTGGAGAAATCAACCAAAGACAAATTACGTTCAGAAATGTAGATCAGTCCATTTAAAAACCACCAAGTACACTTATTTCTCAGACTTATCTCATAAGCTTGTTGTGAAGTTAAAAAAAATGGATTGGGCTCGACTTTTGCAGAAAGGAAAGGAGACAGAACACTACAAACAAGAATTATTTTTCCTTCTCTAATCAGTTTTTTTTTTAAAAAAAAAACCATCATCAAAGAGCTGACAGAAAATCATAGGGCACTTTATGAATTGCCCAGTCAAGGACTAAAGCTCAGCATCATAGGAGATTATGCAGCTACAATTACATTGCTTTAATTTTCTAATCAGACAGTTGTAATAGCCAATTGGGGATCTGCTTTCCTTAACATTTCAGCACACAATATGATTATCACAAGGCTATAGTAAAATGTTCCTTTTGGTAGAAAAATATGTGCCTATGTTCTAAAGTTCTTACAACAGATTGCATTACAGTCCAAAATAAAATGCTTTGAATAAGACTCTACAAAGTTAAAAGCTTAGTATCCCATCCCTGGGCTATTCTTAAAGTTTAGCCAGAATATCTGAAATTCATTTATTCATTCAGATGGCACTCTTTCACAGCAGAAATCTGGATTATGCCCATCTTGTCAGATCTTATCAGATGGGCAGAAGTAATAATAATAATAATAATAATAATAATAATAATAATAATAATAATAATAATAATAATAATAATAATAATAATAAAGTTGGAAGTGACCTTGGAGGTCATCTAGTCCAACCCCCTGCTCAGGCAGGAAACCCTACACCATTACGGACAAATGGCTGTCCAGTTTCTTCTTAAAAACTTCCAGTGT